TCCGACAGATTATCGCTTGACTTCACGTATTCAATTGTGATAATTTCCATAGAGAGAAGTTGCCTAATGGTTTTATGTTTTCGTCGTATATGACGAGATTTTTCATTATACATAATGCTCCCAACCCTTCCAATTGTCGCTTGACTATTGCAATATATGCATATTGGTGCTAATGGTTTGGGCCAAAATATAATATCTTCTAAGAAATTTTGGAGTCATTCAACTTCTTCACTGACTTTATCTAAGACTATGAACTCAGCCTCCATTGTAGAACGAGCAATATAAGTTTGTGGACGATTTTCAAGACACCTCTCCCCCACCAATAGTGAATATATATCCACTTGTGGATTTAGAATCAGTTGAACCGATGATCCAGTTTGCATCATAATATCCATCAATCATCTTAGGATACTTACTGTAGTGCAAAGAAAAGTCTTGGGTATGTTTTAAATACCCCAAAACTCGTTTTATTGCCATCTAATAATATTGACCTGGATTACTTATGTATCGACTTAATTTACTTATAGCAGAAGCTATACATGTTCGTGTACAATTCATGATATATATTAAACAACCAAATACACAAGCATAATCTAATTGAGATATGCTTTGACCTTTGTTCTTTGCAAGTGCAAGATTCACGTCAATTGAAGTCTTTGCAACCTTGAAATCTAAGTGCTTGAACTTTTCGAGTACCGTTTTAATGTAATGAGATTGCACAATGCCAAACCTTGAGGAGTCTTATGGATCTTAATATTCAAGATTAAATCGGCAACTCCTAAGTCTTTCATATCAAACTTGCTAGTTAACATACACTTAGTCACATTATGTTGGCAATGTCATTACTCATTATCAGCATATCATCCACACATAAGCAAACAATGACTATGTGATTTGGCACATTTTTAATGTATATACATTTGTCACATTCATTAATCTTAAAACCATTTAACAATATTTTTTGGTCAAATTTTACATGCTATTGTTTGGGTGCTTGTTTTAGTCCACAAAGAGACTTAACAAGTCTACATACCTTCTTTTCTTTGCCTGAAACCACAAACCCTTCAGATTGTTCCATGTAAATTTCTTCCTCCAAATCTCCAATTAAGAAGGTTGTCTTAATGTCCATTTGATTATTTTCAAGACCATATACCACAGCTAATGCTAGTAATGTCAGTATGAACGTAATTCTTATAACTGGCGAGTACGTGTAAAAATAGTCAAGGCATTCTCTTTGTCTATAACCTTAGAAAACAAGTCTTTCCTTATACTTATCAATAGTGCCATCATCTTTCATTTAGAACCTAACAGTTTGTTACCGGGAGGAAGATCAACCAGTTCCCACGTATGATTATTCAGTATGGATTCTATTTCACTATTTACCGTCTCTTTCCAAAATAATGACCTAGAAGAAGATATTGCTTCTTGGAATATTCGAGGCTCATTTTCCAATAAGAAAGTCACAAAATCTAGTCCAAATGAAGTAGTCGTTCTTTGACATTTACTATGTTTTGGATCTTCCTGATTAAATGTACTTCTTTTGTTTTTTCCCGAGGTCATTTAGATTCTTCACCAATCGACTCACATTCTTTTTTATACGGATATATATTTCCAATGAATTCAGCATTATATGATTCTATAACCGTATTATTATGAATGTCGTAATTTTCTGATTTATGAACCAGAAATTGATTGCTTTACTATTGGTTGCATATCCTATGAAATCAACAATTTTCAGTCCTATCTTTACTCTATTGGGTTTAGGAACTTGCACTTTTGACAAATACCCCTCACACTCTGAAATAATTCAAGTTGGGCTTCCTTTCTTTTCATTTTTCATATGCAATAGATTGTGTTTTGCTATGAGGCACTCGGTTAAGTATTCAGTTAGCCGTAAGAATGGCTTCCCCCCACAACTTCTATGGTAAACCAGAACTTATCAACAAAGCATTCATCATCTCCTTTACTTATTGATTCATTCTTTCTGCAATCCCACTGGGTTGGGGCATGTAAGGGGCCGTTGTTTGATGAATAATGCCAGATGCTAAACATATTTCTTCAAAAGGAGATTCATATTCATCATCTCTATCACTCCTTATCATTTCGATTTTCTTGTTAAGTTGTATTTCAACTTCACTTTTTATTTCCTAAATTCATCTATTGCTTCATCTTTACTACTAAGTAAACATAGCAATAGCGAGTACAGTTGTCAATAAAAATTATGAAATACTTCTTTCCACGGCGAGATGGTATTGACTTCATGTCGCAAATATCTATGTGAATTAAGTCTAAAGGATTTGAATTCCTTTCAACTGACTTATAAGGATTTCTAACATACTTGGATTCCACACATAATTGACATTTTGATTTGTCGCATTCAAACTTAGACAATACTTCCAAATTAATCATTTTGCGCAAGGTTTTGTAGTTGACATGTCCCAAACGTATATGCCATAAATCATTTCACTCAAGTAAGTACGAAGAAGTTGAATTTTTATTATTGTCAATGACCATTACATTCAATTTGAAAAGGACCTCAGTAAGGTAATATTTTCCTATAAATATCCCGTTCTTACTTATTACAACTTTATCAGATACAAAAATGCACTTAAACTCGTTCATGACGAGAAGTGCTGTAGAAACTAAGTTCTTCCTTATTTTAGGAACATGAAGAAAGTTGTTCAGAGTCACCACCTTGCCAGAAGTCATTTTCAAAAATATCTTCCACATCCTTCAATTTTGGCCGTTGCAGAATTTCTCATAGAAAGCGTTTCTTCGGGTTCAATGGGAGCATATGTAGAAAACGCTTCTCCAACGGCGCAAACATGGCGAGTGTCTCCAGAATCAATCCAACGTTCCTTGGGATTTCCTACAAGTTGCATTCAAAAAGCATAGCACACAAGTCATCAATATCCAAGTTCTTTTCAACCATGTTTGCTTGACCTTTTTTCTTGTCCTTCTTTGGAGTGCGACAATCAGCAGACTTATGTCCATCTTTCCCAAAGTTGTAGTGTCACGACCCGAAATCCCAACCGCGAGGACGTGATGGCGTCTAGCGTCCACTTGCTAGGCAAGCCAATATTAGTACACAACTAATCATTTTTAGAAAATTCAAAGCAATATAATAAGAATTAAAGCTATAAAATTCCAAAGTAGATATAATAACTCCAACACCAACTAACCAAAACCCGAAATCTGGTGTCACAAGTACATGAGCATCATATAAGTGCTACAACCAATGTTTGAATGAATGTACAACTGTTAGAAACAAAATAAATAGTAAAACTAGATAAGGACGGGGACTACAGAGATTGTGATTGTTGTACAAGTCTACCTCAAGTATCCAGATGCAGATATGATTCGAGCAGAACCACCGCTAGACACCACTGGGACCAACCCTAGAATTTGTACAAGAAGTGCAGAAGTGTAGCATGAGTTCAACCGGCCCAAGGTACTCTGTAATTGTCGAGCCTAACCCCAACGAGGTAGTGACGAGGCTATGACAAGACACCTACTAAAAGCATGTGCAGATATATACACAAAGTAACAGAAATAACAAGTAGATAATTTAAAATAATAACGGGGAGGGAACATGTAAAAAAGGAGTAAGATAAGAATGGTAAGTACAAAATCACCAAGTAGCCTTTTTTCTGGAATAAACAAAAATGCAACCAAATAATGCACAAATCCGAAAATCAGATAAAGCAATGAAATCAACAATGGCTTGGCATAACCCTTCATGCTTTTACTCTCATCCTCACCATGTAATATCATAAATTCAATGGCACGGCATCACCCTTCGTGCTTTTACTCTTATCCTCACCATATGATAATGATATGATAAATGAAATGGCACGACATCACCCATCTTTCTTTATTCTCACACATGATATAATTAATAATAATAATAATAATAATAATAATAATAATAATAATAATAATAATAATAATAATAATAATAATAATAATAATAATAATAATAATAATAATAATAACTCGGCTGAAGCTAAAATACTATTGTATCCAAACTAATGTGCTAAAAAATTCTTATTTTGTTTGTATGCCCCATTCGAGTCATTCATAATTATTCTATACTAAAATAATCTATGCTAGAAAATTCTTCTTTTGTTTGTATGCCCCATCCGAGTCATTTTAAAATACTATTGTATACAATAGTATTTTAGCTTCAGTAGAGTTATAAAATGACTCGGATGGGGCATACAAACAAAATAAGAATTTTCTAGCATAGATTATTTTAGTATAGAATAATTATGAATGTGCATTATGTAACATAAAAAGCAAAATTTTATAGTATAGGATAATCATTTTAAACTAACGTGGAACTTAATTTTTTTTTTTAATCGAAACTCATTTGGATTATGGGTCAAATCACCTTAAAGGATAAATAGATCTAAAATGGGTATGACCCATATTAGCTTATGTGGTATTTATTTTTGGATTTTTATCATAAAATTTAATGCCATGTCATTTTTATGGTAGGGATTTGAGGTAAAATGACTTTTAAGTGACAATGATAAAGTTTAGTTACTTTTAAATGAAAAAAAATAATTAAATAACTTTAGTGAAATTGAAAGATAGTTCAATACCATCAGCCCTTCAAATTAACAAAGCACTAAATCTGCATCTGAGGTCCAAGGAATTGGGTAAAAGAGGTTGTGACTACACACACAAAAAGAGATAGAACAGATAAAGTATATGTGACTTTTAATCACACAAAGACTTGATCCATGCTTTAACCTTGATGAGTGTCACTTTAAAAATTATATTATTAAAGATATTGTACATTTAAAATTATGTGTTCGAATTTATTACTTGTTAAAAATTTAGTAATCTTTATATATACATAAACATGTTACATCCATGATCCACCTCAGGATGCAAATGTTACTTTAAAAGGTAAAAAGTATTTGTGGCTTAAATTCAAATGTTATTTAAAGGGTAAGCAAAGTATTTGTGGCTTGCAACTAAATACCAAGACAATCATTCTTTTTATTCCCAAAAAATACCCAGACAATCTGACAAAAGAGTATCCGACTCTTTGGCTCCATCAGTTGTTCCATAATGGTCTTCAGGTGACTATGAATTTAATTTCCTACTATACTCTTCAGTTTATAGATAATCTGCCTAATCTTCTGTTACTTTTCCTACCATATTTGTGCAAATAAAGTATCGTTAAGGTTTGTCTCTTACCTAATTAAGAAGATGACAAAGCTTAGATTCTTTAGTATAAATACAGCGAGTTTTCTTGAATACAACAGTAATTAGCCCTTTATTGTGATCAATGGCAACATTCTTGAAACCCCATTTGAACTCCCATGCCACAGAGGATGAAGTTGTGAAAAACCCTTCTAAAACCCCCTTTTGGTACTGTGCTGAAACAGGAGTATACAACAGTAAGTACCCTTTTATTAAACTGCCAGAAGACCCTTTTCTTGATGTTGTTTCCTTCATTTTCTCACACAAGCATGCTGGATTCTCAGCTCTTGTTGACTCCACTTCTGGCATTTCACTTCCCTATTCAGTGTTTTACTCTATGGTTAAGTCCATGGCTAGTAGTCTTCACCAAAGGGGTGTCTCACCAGGTGATGTTGTGTTAATTCTCCTCCCAAATTCCATTTATTTCCCTGTTATTTTGTTGGGTGTTTTGAGTCTTGGTGCAATTGTAACCACTATGAATCCCTTCAGTAGTTTGTTAGAGATTAAAAAACAAGCCCTTGATTGTGGTGTTACTCTGGCATTTACTACTGATGATAGAGTTGATAAATGTGCTGCATTAGGCATTCCTGTAATAGGGGTGCCAGAAAGTTTGGTTTCTAATTCAAATGGTAGTCAAAGTTCTGGTTTTTATGAGCTGATTTCATGTGATCCCAACTGGGATTCAAGTCCTAAAATAAGTCAGCAAGATACAGCAGCAATTCTGTACTCGTCGGGTACTACTGGTACAGGCAAAGGTGTTGTCTTGACTCATGCGAACTTTATAGCCATGGTACAACTTTTTGTGAGGTTTGAAGCTTCACAATATGAATATTTGAGTACTGAGAATGTGTACTTGGCTGTTGTACCGATGTTTCATGTGTACGGGCTCTCTCTCTTTGTGATGGGATTGTTGTCATTGGGGTCTACCGTTGTTGTGATGAGAAAATTTGATGCTGATGAGATGGTGAAAGCTATTGAAAGATACGGCGTCACTCACTTCCCCACAGTCCCACCATTATTTATGGCGTTGACTAGAAGAGCAAAGGATGGTACTTCGAGCAGTATGAAGAGCTTGAAACAGGTTTCATGTGGCGCAGCTCCCTTAAACACAAAATCTATTGAAGAATTTGTTCGCACTCTCCCAGATGTTGATCTCATTCAGGTCTGTGTCCTAAATCATTGACTGCCAACTGGATGCAGCTTAAACCATATATGACAATATAGCTACTATTTTGGAAATAGACAAGGTTGCTAGGTATTTCTAAGCAGAAGACATTCTTTACTTATGCCCTTTGATCTGCATAGCTTCCATTCTGGGTTGTATGATGTTAGCTCTAGATATTGGTCTAATCGAAGCGCTTTATCTCAGTTGAACCCTTCGAGAAAAAATATTTGTTTCTTCTTCTGATTCCACTGTCCCCTGAGCCAATTTAAAATGTGTTAGAATATTGCAAACTTGGAAAGTGCATTACTTATCCAGAAAGATGGAAGTGTTTGCAAAATTATCCTATGTATGTTTTGCTTTCAATTTTCAGATATATATGTCATAATTTGTTGTCCAGGGATATGGCATGACTGAGTCAACTGCTATTGGAACACGTGGTTACAATTCTGAAAAGCTTCGTAATTATTCTTCGGTAGGGCTTCTAGCTCCAAACATGCAAGCTAAAGTAGTGGATTGGATCACAGGTTCACCCTTACCTCCCAACTGCATGGGCGAGCTCTGGCTTTGTGGACCTGGTGTCATGAAAGGTAATTAGCTTTATCAAAGCTGTGGTTACTATTTATCTGAAGCTACTGGAATACTCTTTATGCTACTAAACCCAGAGAATTGTCTTAGCCGCTAAATTCTGTAATGGATTTTCTAGTGGATTTTTCACTATTCTTGAGCCGAGGGTCTATCGGAAATAACCTCTCTACCTCTCTAAGGTAGGGGTAAGGTCTGCGTACACATTACCTTCCCCAGACCCCACTTGTGGGATTCCACTGGGTATGTTGTTATTGTATTTTCTAGTGGATATGCACCATTCTTAGATTTTTTGATTTTGTTAGGTGAAAAACTGTGAAACTTTTAACTCATAATCATCATTATCTCTGAGATGTATTAATGTTTTTGAACTAACGCTTAAGAAAGCCCGACAAAAAGTTAGTTCCAACCGTATGTCTTTTTGGCTTCTGATATTTGTGCTCTCTGAACAAGTAAAAGAATTTTATAGTTGGCATTTCAATTTCCAGGGTACTTGAATAACTCAGAGGCTACTAAGTCTACGATTGATGGAAATGGTTGGCTCCACACTGGTGATATTACTTATTTTGATGAAGAAGGATATCTTTATGTCATTGACCGACTGAAAGAGATTATCAAATATAAGGGCTTTCAGGTAGATTTTTTGATTTCTTTTATTGGATTTCTTCCCCATTTTATATCATCTAACACATTTAGGCTGCTTCTGATATTATGTATTCAAAATTACAGATTTGAATTTTAACTGATTGATCAATTCTTTTATGTGCTTCATAGCATCAGAGAATTCACTATGGGAACTAAGGCTTGTAATATCGATTCAATTATTCTTTTAAATTTTTGTTGAGATTGATGGATGGATTCTCTTGCTGTGTATAATTCTGCAGATAGCTCCTGCTGATTTAGAAGCTGTATTGGTCTCACATCCAGATATCGTTGATGCTGCAGTAACAGGGTAAGCTTGACCAGTGCTTCAGATATTGATGCAAACCTGTTAAGAATACATGTAATTTTAACACAAATTCATGCTTCATCCTCCATAGATGCTCTTGCTTGAGTTACAGAAGCAATTTGATTCCTTGCTGCTAACGTCAATTTGGGTCATAGTATATCTTGAAGTCCTGCACATCTTTTTGGTGTCTAGACTGATGTAGTATGTTATGCTCTCATCACTTTGTACGTGGAATGGATAGTGTCACTAGTACATTCCTGAAAGATATTGAATTATGAGAATTGTCTAACCATAGCAAAAGGAGAATTTTCTTCACTTATTTCCTTTATGGAGATATAATTAAAATTAGTCGGACTAGATGACGTTTGGATTTTTAATTCTTTTAATTTGCTTTGAATGTGTTGTATTAAGTAGTTGCCAACACATGCACAGTAAAAATTTATTGGTCCTCGAGATTCCTTTACTCAACATTTGAGGAAGATGGGAGGAAAAGTCAGTTAAAATACTCTTCCTTGGTTCTTTATCACCAAAATCTTCCATGCCGATCCTTGAAGGATTGCATAGTATCATTCTTTGTGCCACTTTAGCACGGTCGGGTAGCTGGAGCTCATCCACTTTATTGTTATTCAATTCTTCAGAGCCAGAGATGAGGAAGCTGGAGAAATTCCAGTGGCATTTGTCGTCAAGAGAGATGGGTGTGCACTTTCCCAAACAGATGTGATCGACTTTGTTTGTAAGCAGGTATCAGCTTCTCCTTATGTATTTTTGTGTTAATCCCTTCATCTGGCAGCAAGTCATTTGTCTCCCTGCTGTATGATATGGCTGTTTTTATGATTTTCAAGAATACATGTATATGATGCACCGTGAATTCTAGGTATGTAGGCGCCTCCATTTCTAACATAACTTCTTATCTTTATAATAGGTTGCACCATACAAGAAGATTAGAAGGGTTTACTTTAAAGCTTCAATACCCAGGTCTGCAGCTGGAAAGATTCTTAGAAAGGAGTTAAGGAACTTATTAACTTCCAAATTGTAGGGCCTCTTTATCAACTGTCCAGCTCTACAGTTGCCTAACAAAGTTCGCACACGGGTGAAATCCAGAAGAAACCAATAATAGATGAGGATATTTTTTGTGTTTTCTTGTAGATGCAAGTAGATATTGGGGAAACAACAGCTGCCATTCATATATTATGTACAAATCTTGATCAATCTTTTGGTTTCAGCAGCTCTAGTTGCCACTTATAGCTGTCAAAATGTATCAAATTATCCATTCTTCCAGTATATTGATATCCTGATTTTTGTCTGAAATGGAGAGCGAATGATTTCTTTACCCCTCAGGTGAAATTACAATTCTTGTCATGTGTTCTGGACTGTGACATATACGGAAATTGGAATTGTGTGAGGTAATAATGTTTTGATTCCTTAGTTGGAAAAGTGACATTTTAAACAAAACATTGAGGGTATATATCACTTTCTTCTAATTGGGTTTAGATGTCACTTTTGCCCACATATTGTGTTAGTCTGAAGTTTGGTACCAAGATTAGAACAAGAGCACCACAATAACAAAGCAAAAATAGAACTCTGGTTGCCCACATATTTGGTAAGCCTCTGCAACAACAACAAACCCAGTGAAATCCCACAAGTGGGGTCTGGGGAGGGTAGTGTGTACGCAGACCTTACTCTTACCTTATGAAGGTGGAGAGGTTGTTTCCGAAAGATCATCGGCTCAAGAACAGTGAAAATGAAGCAATTGACAAACAATAGCAATAATAAGGTAATAAGGCAATGGAAGCAAATGGTACAATGAGTAATAACAAAGATCCGGGGATACAAAACTACAAGAGTAGTGTCAATCCTACTGATAATAATGACATACTGTGTAAAAATAAGGGATTAGGAATAGGAAAATACAAGACTAGTACTAATACTACTGGTAAGACGAGGCGGAACTCTACACTGTCCGGCAACCCATCACTCTTATTCTCGACCTCCACACCTTCCTATCGAGGGTCATGTCCTCGGTAAGCCGAAGCAGAGTCATATCCTGCCTAACCACTTCACCTCAGTTCATTCTTCTGCCTCCCTTTATCCCTCCTCTGACCCGCTATGGGCAATCTCTTACACCTCCTAACCGGGGCATCAGAGTCTCTCCTATTCACATGTCCAAACCATCTCAGGCTCGATTCCCACAACTTATCTTCCATAGGAGCCACACCCACATTCTCCCTAATATATTCATTCCTAATTATGTCTTTCCTGGTATGCCCACACATCTATCTCAACATCCTCATTTCTGCTACTTTCATCTTCTGGGTATGAGATTTCTTGACCGGCCAACACTCGGCTCCATACAACATGGCTGGTCTAACTACCGCTTTGTAGAACTTGCCCTTAAGTCTAGGTGGCACATTCCTGTCACACAAAACACCAGAAGCGAGCATCCATTTTAACCACCCCGCTCCAATACGATGTGCCACATCCTCGTCAATCTCCCTGTTACTCTGTATTATAGACCCAAGATATTTGAAACTATCTCTCTTGGGGATGACTTGTGTATCAAGCTTCACGTCCACTTCTATTTTATGCGTCCCAACACTAAACTTATACTCCAAGTATTATGTTTTTGTCCTGCTCAACTTGAAACCTTTAGACTTTAGGTTCTATCGCTACACCTCCAGCCTAGCATTAACCCTGCAACACGTCTCGTCAATCAATACTATGTCATCTGCAAAAAACATACACCATGATACCTCTCCTCCCACAATTCTCACCCGAGTCTTAGATTCATCGTACATGTCCTTAATCACCATAATCTACGCTACCGGAATGCCACTAACCTCCAAACAAGAACTTTGGCCCTAAGCATGAAAACATATAACCAAAAGTTTCTAATACAACTAAATTCTATCGGGTGACTCAAAGACCTTTATTGCCTATAATGGGACCAATCTGGTTCGACCCTTTCTTGAACTATGCATATATCGGGAGCTCAGTGCATCGTACTGTCCTTTTATTGAGTTACGAAGTATCATGGGGCAACACTCCTTGCTATTATTAGTTTATCCTTGTTCAAATTTTCATTCATAACTCCATTGTTGTAGTTGTTAATGTGGCAGTATTTTCAAAAAATTTAAATATCCAAGTATCCTTTTATTTTACAAATGTCCTATCTATTTCTAAGTGGCAACTATGCATGTGAGAAATTTCACAAGTGTCTTTGGTCTATTTCAACATCCAATATGTGGCATGCTTTCTCTTGATTTTGGGTAAGTGGCATAAGTTAAGTACCAAGTAGCAGATGAGACATAACACTTGTCTCAAGCAATTGTCATTATTGAGCTTATAGATAGGCCTTCCATTTCTACGGACAAAACACCAAAAAAAGCTAATCATTAGCTTCAAATTACTACTTGCTCTATTTCTTTCATTCTAATATTCTTTTTATGTCTCCACCTTTTTCTATCTTCAATAGATACTTTGTGGGTGTTTGAACATAAGAATTGTAAAATTCTAAAATAAGGGGAATAATTTTTTCAAGTGAAAATGGTATTTGAAATTTAAAGTTGTGTTTGGACATGAATATAATTTTTGGTTGTTTTTGAAGTTTTGTGAGTGATTTGAGTGAAAATTTTGAAAAATAACTTTTTGGAGTTTTTCAAATTTTCGAAAATTTTCAAAATGCATCTTCAAGTGAAAATTAAAAATTTTATGAACAAACGCTGATTTCGAAAAAAGTAAATTTTTTTTGAAAAAAAGGAAAAAATTTCTTATGTCCAAACGGACTCTTTATTTGTTTCTTTTAACAATTTGCTGGTATATTTAATTTTGCTGATTCATGTATCCTCTAAATAAATAGAGGTAGGTTTGTTTAATCCTGGGAAAATATTTCACATTGCTGAAATAGTTTCTTAGGACAGTGCCCAACACGACTCAAGCCAATCCGTGTATCTATATCTGCTCACAAATATTATTGCAGTATTATTATTATTATTATTATTATTATTATTATTATTATTATTATTATTATTATTATTATTATTATTATTATTATTATTATTATTACTATTATTATTATTATTATTATTATTATTAATTTTTCATGTTATTTCCCAACAATCTAATAAACTAGGGCAAGTAATACTACTACAAAAATTGTTGATAATGCTGTCAATTTTAGTGTTGTCTCCGCTGCTACTGTTCCAGTTGTCCTGCCATATATTCATGGTATTGCAAATAAGTTATTGCATCCACAACTTGAGCAGACACTGATATTAAAATACAAGTATGTAAATAGACATGATTACATATCCAATGCTAATATTAAAACCTTCAAGAAAAATGTACCTCAATGCAAGAGAAGAGTTGGGATGAATGACAATCTCGCTAAGTCAAAATTAAATTTGACTAAAGCAGATAATATAATTATTGCGGTCTTTTTTCAAATAAATAATGTGGCCAATGTGAGAGATTGGGTGATAGACTCTGGTGCTACTAGGCACATTTGTGCAAACAAAAATAAATTTTTGTCTTACACCCAAGTTGAGGAAGGAGAAAAGATGATTTATCTTGGTGACTCAAGAACAACTTACGTTCTTGGGAAAGAAAAAATTCTTCTCAAACTCACATCTGGTAAAACTCTAGCATTGAGTGATGTGTTGCATGTTCCTAATATCCAAACCAATTTGGCGTCTGTGGGACTATTAGAAAAAGTTGGAGTGAAGGTTTCTTTCGAGAATGATAAGGTCGTACTGACTAAAAATAATAATTTTGTGGGCAATGGATATTGTAACCATGGTTTATTTGTGCTTAATATTTCTGATACTAGCAATGTAACGACCCGACCGGTCGTTTTGAGAATTTAAGTCCCGTTCGGCGACATAAGGTCCTGAGCAGCTTCGTATTATATGTATTGACTTGCGTGCGTGGTTGAATTCAGTTATCGGATGATTCGGAGTGATTTGGGATACTTAATCCCTAAAACGAAAGCTTAAGTCTTAGGATATTGACCGTAGTTGGAACTGTGTAAAGACGACTCTGGAATGGAGTTCTGACGGTTCTGTTAGCTCCATTGGGTGATTTTGGACTTCGGAGCATGTCCGGACGGTGAATTTGAGGTCTATAGCTGATTTAACTTGAAATGGCAAAAGTCAAATTTTTAGAGATTTTGACCGGAAATAAAATTTTTGATATCTGGGTTGGAATGCGATTCCGAGAGTTGGAACAACTCCGTTATGTTTTGGGACTTGCCTGCAAAATTTGACGTCATTCCGGGTTGATTTGATAGGTTTCGGTATGAGTTTTAGAAGTTGGAAGATTTAAAAGTTCATAAATTCGATTCAGGGTGCGATTCATAGCTTCGTCATTGTTTGATGTGATTTGAGGCCTCGAGCGGGTCCGTGTTAGGTTATGAAACTTGTTTGTGTGCTTAGACGGGGCCTTGAGTGTGTTTCAGATGGGCCACGGGTCAATTCCTCCTATTTTGAATTACTGTTTTCTGTCATCTAATGTTCTTCTTCGCGATCGCGAAGTGCCTTTCGCGTTCGCGTAGTATTCTGCTGACCCGCCTAATATTCCCTCTTCGCGTTCGCGTTCGCGTTCAAGATCTCGCGTTCGTGAAGATCTTCCTTTTTCCTTCTTCGCGTTCGCATGCTTCCTTCCGCGTTCGCGTAGTAGAAACTAGGCTCTGAGCGCTGGTGATCATTTAAATCCTTCGTGTTTGCGTGTCCTCTTCGCATAGGTTCCTCTTCCTTTTGCTTCGTGTTCGCGTCCCTTTGCTCGCGTTCGTGAAAGATCTTCAGGCAGCCTTCACTTTTCTTCTTCGCAAACGCGATCACCCTTTCGCGTTCGCGATGCTATAAGACCTGGGCAGAATAAATAGTACTCTATTCCGAGGGTTTGCTATTTTCACAATTTTTGGAGTTCTAGAACTCGGTTTTGAGCGATTCTTTTTGGGGTTTTCAAGAAAATCGATTGGGTAAGTGTTCTTCACCTAGAATTTATTATATTTCATGATTTTATCTTTATTTTTATCATTTAATTAGTGTTTTTAATTGAGGGAAATGGGGATTTTTGAAGAAAACTTTCAAAATGAAAAACATCATGATTTGAGTAACGAAATGGTATCGAAATTTGATAAATTTAGTATGGTTGAACTCGTATCGGAATGGGTGTTAGGGTTTTGTGAAATTTGTCGGGTTCCGAGATGCGGGTCCGGAAGTCGACTTTTAGGTCGATTTTTAGATTTTGATAAAGATTGAAGCTTTATGATCCGGAATAGTTTCTTATGAGTTTTATTTGTGCTTTGAAGT